TAGCGTCAAGGCCTGCCTCGTTTCTTGGTCGCGAAGTCCATCCAAGAATGCCTGAACTGCTAACCGCTCCATTACATTTTCGGGTGTAGCAGGATATGCCAGACGGACCAATAGAGCTATGTCGGCTTCAAACTCCTGTAGGAATTCTCCTGATTTCTGGCAGCGGTTCTTCAGCTGTGAATGGTAAACGTGCTCTAGCTGGGCCTGTCCATACCGCAGTTCAAGATGCTTTACAAGTTGGTCATAGTCTTCCTGTTCCTGGGCCGTGAGGGTTTGCAGGATATTCGCTGCTTCTCCACGCAACGCCAACGCCTTTTCTCCTGCATTCCATCCATTCGCTCTGGCCGCAGCTTCAAATTGTCGGCGGTAATTTGCCCAAGGAGTTTTTCCGTCGAACTGGGGCGGCTTCATGGAGAGCTTTCCTGGTTCAGAACTGAGTTTGACATCTTTCAGTTCCGGAATTGAGTTTTCAGTAACCGTTTCTGTGGGGTGGGCAGAATTAACAATTTGGTTTTGCAACTTGCTGATTGTTTTTTTCATATTGCTGATTTCTGCCTCGAATTCGCCTTTGATTTCATTGCCTACTTTTTTCCCATTTTCTTCATTTCTGCTCCGATTTCATCTTTGATCCCCCCTTTGATTTCCTCTCTGATTTTGTCTATCTCTGTCTCGATGGTTCCTATCCTTTCTTCGAGTAGGCTTGCCACACTACAAAGCTCTTTCTTCAAGCCTTCTGCATTTTCTAGAAGTTCTTCCTTCAAGCTATTCGAATTCTCTAGAAATTTATCTTCCAAACTCTTCGAATTTTCCAGAAGCTTCTCCTCCAGGCACTTCGAATTTTCCAGAAGCTTCTCCTCCAGACTTACCGAATTTTGTTGAAGTTCATCTTTCAAACTCTTCGAATTTTCCAGAAGCTTCTCCTCCAGACTTAGCGAATTTTGTTGAAGTCCATCGAGTTTGCTCATTATTGAACTCCAATCACCCCCAGAAACTTCGAATAAATATGTTTCGGGATCTTCTCCTGATTCAATCAAGTTGTCCTATAGTCTCTTCTGGAGTACTGATTTTTTTCCGGAAGAATCTAGTTCTCTCTCCTCCAATTCTTGCTTCAATTCGGCAACTTTCAAGTCCACTAGGCGCACTTTCCTTGAACACATTTTATCTCTTACTGTCTATTTTACTCAAAACTGAATATGTCCACTTATTTAATGGAGTCCGAAACACTAATTTATTTTCACAAGTCTATTTTTCGCGAGAAAGGTCTATCAGTTTATATTTCCGTCGTCCGGTACTGTCCGCTTCGCGAAACACAATGAATCACCAGTCTATCTGCGCGAAAGTGCGAAAGTTTTATAGTCAATTTCACTGTGATACAAAAATTGTCCACCAAGCGCTCACAAATTTATTTTGAAAATCCACTTCTGATCACCAATTGTTACGAATTAAAGAATTAACTGTCTTAATCAAATTTATTTTTAACAATAGTTCACTATCACAACTAATTTATATACAACACCTAATAACTAACGCTTAATTTATCTTCACAATTAGATTCCTTTCCTTAAACGCACGATTCGCTTTCTTTATATCGACCTTTTTATATCGTCAACGAGCGTTCCGGATTTCTCTGCGGATTTCGGGACCCATCCACACCTTTCCCGCTGGTTCGCAATCAGACATGCGTTTGCTGACTGGGACATCGGTCAGGGCCGGCTTCAGATTCATTACAGTATTTTGGCCGTAGACGTAAAAACAATTAGCTCTTTCTATATTTTGATTTGAACTTATTTTTGAATAAATACCAAAACTATAAATACTCACACAAAAATTGCTATCTATAAACTATCTCTGAATATTATTATTTTTATAAAAGAATAATAACACCTCTTGAGGATTGTTTTTACAAAAATAGTTAACTGACGGTTAGACTGTAGCCGATTTGTTAGTGACTCATACTCATGAAACCACCATTATTGCGAAAGTTGGTTCGATACTAATTTTGAGACGATATTTGTTCACTGCGTAGAAAAAATTCTGGTGAGGCACAAGTGTTTTCATTGCAATCAAAATGTTTAGTGATTATTTTCAATAAAATCAAAGGAAATTGAGAGGGCTTTAGAGAAGTTAGACTCAGCACCATTGGTGTCGTCAGGAAATTGCATTTATACGCCGGTATATACACACTAACTAATGTATAATTGAAAAATATTCAAACAGGCTCATTCTTTGACTCAGCGATGTCGTTTATCTATATTAATCAGAAATGATATTTCTTGCAATGTCGTTCGTTAAAAAGACTGAATGTTTTAATTTATTTCGGTCAAGTTTTCAATTTAAAGTTTGATATTTCTCAGAAAATGAACATTCTCTACATTTTATCATCTGATCGACAGCTAACGAATCTCGATAAATAGAATTGAAACCTTTGGCGTAAAATAAATATCTGATGAAAACACTTTTCCCACATTAGAACGGTATTGTCTCTCAAAGCGCGCTTTGCTTACCAAGTTACCATCTTCAGGAGATAATGACATCTGCTTCAGTTCTGGTGTTTAAAAAGTCTTTTTATTGAAACTTACCTATTGTGTAATAATGACATTTTACGAAATAGACCTACCTAAATTTATAAATGTATGTGAAGAGAAATTAAGTAATCCTTTAAACGTGTACAATCTCACAAGCAATCATCTGTTTAGCTTTTCAAATGTCAACTAATGACATGTCATAAGTCATAACTCCTGACGACTTTTGACATCAAAATAATTAGAAACCTTAAGTTTTTTCTTGAGGTAAATATAATCCTGAATGAATTTCATAAGTAATTTTAATTTTTTGTTGAAAAAAACTTCGAAGAATCGAATTCGTGCTACTATTTATCTGTATAGGTGAAATTAGAGGTTACGTTTATAATTTATCAATACTGTTTTGGTCTAAACTTTTAGCACTGTAGGGATTGTTAAGCAGAACAATATAAAAATGGCCAACTCCCCCAACTTAGTATTACGAAGAATTGATGATATCATAAAGTCTGAAGAGGACAAAAGGTCTTATCGAGGATTGGAATTGTCAAATCACATGAAAGTCCTTCTTGTAAGTGATCCTACCACTGACAAATCTGCTGCAGCTATGGATGTAAATGTTGGTGAGTTTCCTCCTTCCTAGAACCCATAATTTCTCAGATTCACTTTGGGGCATGAAAGAGCTTCATTTGGACTGTGCATCCAGAAAATTAATAATGAACTGAGAGTTCCTATAGTTCTAGATCTTTCTGGTCGGTGGCTGCAATGACAGTAGAAGCAAATTCCATTAATGAACTATTTGCTTAACATTCAACAGTTGATTTTCAGGACAAAATACCAATTATTCTTTCTACACAATCCACAGTGAACTAACACATTTACTTTGTTAGCTCTTTATATTGAGGTTGAAGAGGTTCTTTGTTTTTGGTTGAAAGACTTCTCAACTTCAGCTCATATTTGAAATAAGTCAAAAAAAAAAATAACTAGATCAATTGCATTATGACTTTTAAAGAAAATTATGTTCATCTCAGCATTCACTGATTAGAGATCCAAATAGGCCAAATAACCTTGATATTTTAAGACACTAGAAAAATTAAGGATTTCTTCCTATTCATGGAAAGTTTTTGTGTAACATCAGAAGTATGTGTTGAATAACAATGGCTTATAATTTGAAGCTCAGTTCAATACATTCTTGAAATTCTTATTTGGACAAAAACATTTCTGAAAAATGATCTTGTCCAAATCATTTTTTCAAAAGGATTATATGCTCAGCTATTTACTTGAATGAAACAAATCACTGTTTTAAAAGAGGCTCTTGAAGAGCATGTCTACTAACTTTTCAGAAATCGCAATAATTTCACAGAATTGGTCACTCTGTACCTTAAAAGTATTTTGTTCATTCGGGGAAAATTCAAAATTGTTGTCCCAGTAGATATTTCAATAAAACCATTCTGTTAATGAAAAAATCTTTGTTAATATTTTCATTCATTTTTTTTATTGAATAAAATTTTCAAGGTTACTTAAGTGATCCGAAAGACGTACTAGGGCTTGCCCACTTTTGTGAGCATATGCTATTTCTGGGAACTAAGAAATATCCTAATGAAAATGATTACAATAAATTTTTGAGTGAACATGGTGGTAGCACCAATGCCGCTACTTATCCTGATCATACTCTTTACTATTTTGATATAGTACCTGAAAAGTTGAATGAAGCTCTTGATAGGTAAGTTAAAAAATGTTTATTTGTGAAAGGTGAATTCTAGATTTATGTATTTGTAGGTTTTCCCAGTTTTTTATCACTCCACTATTCACAGAGAGTGCAACTGAAAGAGAAATAAATGCTGTGAATTCAGAGCATGAGAAAAATATACCAAGTGATTTGTGGAGATTAGATCAACTTGACAAGCATTTATCAAATCCTGAACATCCCTATAACACATTTGGAACAGGTAATAATGTGTTACTTCAATTTGCTTTGACATAGTACTCCTCATACAACATATTTTTCGCACCTACAATTTACAAATATATTGCATAAAATCTTCTATTCTAGATGTTTTTGAAGTGTCTATTTAGTGTTTAACATTAGTACTGATTCTAGGTCAAATCAATTGGTCTCAAAGTAATGTAAGTAAAAAAAAACTTGGCATTACAGCTTAAAATTTACACATATATATTATGTAATGGAATACATATAAATATATATTTGAGAGATACACAAATCTGAGCAAAGAAAATTTATAATCATATATATGAGTACTTATTATATAAATATTAAATTTGTTCACATTGATATACAGAGTTGAATTTTCTTTTAATGATTATTTCCTAAAAATGTTTTTCGAGCTGACTCCAAAATCAAATTTTTCAATTTATCTTTGTTTGGAAAGAATTCGGCTTCTGGTAGTTTTCATTTCACTTAGTGAAATTTTATAAATGTAGGGATCAATTTTTATATAATTTTGACCTACTGATTTATTTATCCTCTTTTTGCCACCGTTTTTTATGTTTGTACCTTTAATATTATGTAAATGGATTTATTGACTTTGGTTAAACTTTAGTTGAATCCATTTTTACTCTCTCGGAACAGAAAATTTAATCCTGCCCATTATAGTTAAACTAAGATTGGGATTATATTACGGAGTATTTTGGGCCAAGATATTCCTAAAAATTGTTTCAATAATTCAAATGTCTAGAATAAAGTTTGTTATTTTCTATTTAGGAATTTATTATCACTCATAATCAGTTAGTGTAGCTTTATATATAATGAAGAGTGAAGCTGATTTGGTTTGAACTTATATTGTGTTCACCAATAGTGAAAGTTGAAAGTCAAAAGCTTGGAACACTGTTCTGAACCAGAAAACTGTACAAACCCCAGCAACTTTTGATATTTCATAAATAAATAAATAAAGCTCAGATCAGACCGTCTTTGGAGTATTGTTCACATGTATGGAGCTCCGCCCATAAGCATACCCTGAAGCTGCTGGATTCCATCCAGAAAAGAGCCATCCGCCTGATTAGATACACGAACATCACTTGCAACCTTAATAGTCTGAAACATCGAAGAAAGGTTTAAGATTTGACTCTCTTTAATAGATATTTTCACGGGAGGTGTTGAAGTGACTTGGCACATTTGATTCTACCAAGAGTGGTATATCAGAAATACGCGACGGACTGCGGCTGCCCATCATTTTGAGGTTCAACTCAGTACACCTCGAACCTAACTGTTTAATAACTCTTTCATTTGGAGAAATGCCTTTTTGTGAAATAAACTTCCTGAGAACGTTTTTTCAAATGAATATAATATCCAGCGATTCAATCCTAACGCGAATCACTACTTTTGCACAGGCACCGATCTTAGGGCTCCTTAAAAAAAAAGAACCAGTTCTTGTAATAAATGATAGAATAATGAGTGTTCACAACATAATTTATTGAAATCATTCATTTGACCTTGTTGATAACATCAAAAACTTTAGTAAATTTCTGTTCTTTATAGGCAATAAACACACTTTGATAACGCTTCCCAGAGAAAGAAATATAAATGTGAGGGAAAAACTTTTAGAATTCCATTCAACATGGTACTCATCAAATATTATGTGCCTAGCTGTGCTAGGAAAAGGTAATGAAAATACTTTTTAATGACATATGATACTCAATATATATTTTTAATACAGAAAGTCTTGACGAGCTGGAAGAAATGGTGGTGAAATTATTTGCTACGGTAGAAAATAAGGATGTTCAGGCTCCTGTTTGGAAAAATCATCCTTATGAAGATGATCAATTGAAATCATTAGTTTACATTGCTCCTGTGAAGGATGTGAGGAATTTAAATATAATTTTTCCTTCTCCAGATCTAACTGAGTTTTATAAGTCTGCGGTAAGTTAGTTTATGTTAAACCTGCCTCAAATGGAAGGAATTTGTTGCAGTTTGTACTATTGCAATAGCATGGTTTTCTTTGTTCTTCTGTTTCATGGTTATCATTTGAATCACCATAAGTATATGTGAGTTCAGTATTTTCATTGATGTCTCGATTTGCAAAAATACCTAAAGTTGGTAGCATGTCATTTTCACGAATAACTACAAGTTTGCAGTTTGGATTGCAGCTATGGTTGATATACCTTCCTATATTTCCGTAAACGGTTGGGTCTATGAATGTTTTTTGTTTACGTGTGCCATAAGTTTCATTTATGCAAAAAATATAATTCACTTTTTTGAGTTCCTTGTAAACTTCAAACCTTTTTTTAGCTTCATTTTCTGTTATTATCTCACCTGCATATTCACACACAAAATTCCCAGCTTTTAAATTCCTCAAAGTGAACAAACCCAATCCTTTGATCTGATTGTCACATGCTCTCACTACTAAACCTTTCCTAGGCCCAAACTGAACTAATTTATTCCCACAAATCACATTATTGCATGTACAATTTCTGTTGCATTCATAAGAAGGTATTCGAATATTGTTATCTTGAATGATATAATTCTCAGTATCTAATATGTTTTCGTAGTCATAATTTGTTCCACTTCGCTTTACACAAGAGCAGTTTGTATCTTCTTTGCATTCTGACAGGCAGAGACAACCTCCAAGAATATGGCAATTTATTTCTTCAGCTTCCTTAGTTGGAATACTTCTTGGAAAATAAAAAACTCCCGATATTTGATGGTCATAATTATCAAGGAAATCCATTTATCTAGACTTTTCTTAATGTACCAAATCAACATGAAAATTTTGGTTATCTATCCTTTCCTTTTGTTTTTCTTCTTTCTTCTGCTTGGATTAGCGACTGTTTTTTTGGGCTTACTCCTTGAACATATACCCAGCTTCAGGTACTATTTCCACAGATTGAAGCTTTTGTGGTATTTCTTTTTTAAAGGAGGGAATATGCTTACTTGTACAGTCCCCACTACTCTTCTGGTTCTAGGTCAATATCGTTTTTCTTTTCTGTCTTCTTACTGTTTTCCGTCTTTTAATTGTGTATTTGATTCACAGACCTGATAATTATATCCTAGGTGTAGAACGCGATCATGTGTTTATTTGTGACTTTATTTTGGATAAATCACGGACGAGGATATAGGACATGAAAATGAAACATCATTTCTGGAATATTACGAAATAATATTTTTATCTGTTGGACCCTATGAATCGGTTTTATCTATCATATAATGAATTATTTCGTTGAGAAATAAGTATAACTAGAGTACGAATGGATCATTTACAGTGTTTTAGGGATTACACGATTTATCCATCCGTCATATTTGAAAAGCGTCCTCTCATAATTTAGTGTCATGTCATTTTATTTTCGTATTCTTCATATAATTTTCACAAATTTCTTATTCTTCTTTTCTTGATTATTGGGTTTAGTCTTCTGTTGTGTATACAGAATCACGTTCGCATTTGAAGCGACTATTGCCGCTGGGTGACGCTAGCGTCAATCCAAAACTGAGGGAAAACAAGGAAATTCAGTAATATTTTAAATGCTCACAAGTAAAGTCATATCAATTGAATAGTTCACTACAAAATTACATTGGTTTGTCGACAATGATTTTAATTTATGCTGAACTTGTTCTAACCAAAACACTGCGTGATATCTGGCAATGCAATAATGAAATCTGGATCCGGAGTTTTTTAACCAGAATTCAAACATTATGTTTTACTTCAAACAAAATGGAGTGGATCTATCTAGCGTATGAAATTGATCACAAAAATACGAATTTGTGTTTTAGCCAGGCGGCTATATAAGTCACTTGATTGGCCATGAAGGTCCAGGAAGTATTTTATCAGTTCTAAAATCTAGAGGTTGGTCGAGTAGTTTGGTCGCAGGAAGTAAGCCATCTCCTAGAGGCTTCGGATTCTTTGGAATTGCTGTAGACTTGACCGAGGAAGGAATGAATCATGTTGATGACATCGTTCAACTTGTTTTTCAGGTAATCATTATTTTCAATAAAAACTTGATTTATTGGAAAAACGTTTTCATCTATAATTATTGCTACTATAATTTTAAATCAATATGGTTATATTAGTAGCCAATTGGCAATGCTGTTAGTAATTGAAACTTTTTTTTAGTATCTGAATATGCTGAAAACAGAGGGACCCCAGAAGTGGGTTCAGGAAGAAAATAGAAACATTGCTCAAATGGTATTCAGATTCAAAGACAAGGAATCGCCAAGAAATTATATCACAAGTTTAGTTCATACTATGCAAGTAAGCATTTTTTGTGTTTATATCATTTATGGATTGTGTTTCAAATAAGAACAAGACATATTATTATTGAGTGGTAGCAAAATGTTCTAACCTAGAATAAATACTATGGAATAGTTTCAGTCTAACAAAAAAAGAATACCGTACTTTGGTTATACAAAGTGGCGACTGGACAAATTTTCTGAAAATTTGGTATGTTGTTGTATTCGGTCTAGTAACCAAAAGTGTCAATGGACCCAGCCCAATCCTATGACTACTTTTCTAGATACAGGGTGTTACATTTTGAATTTTCACAGATTTTGGGTCCTTTTTAAAATCAAGCGTTAGATTGGATTTCTGATCCATACAAATTTTCACTATATGTTCTAGTAATAAATTATCGGATATATATGATTGAAAATATTTATTCACAAGGTGATGATTTCTCTGACCATTTTACCGTAAAATAATTTGACTTGAACACGAATTTGGATCTTATTATTTTCTTGGAATTTGTCCAGCATTTCATTAGCTATTTTAGGTGTTCAAGTTTTTTCTATCAAGGGATGATACTTGCTAATTAAAGCACCAGCAACAAAACAAACATTTTTTTTGAAATGTTGATTTTTTTTTCATATGGAGGTGCATTGAGACTATTTTTTTCAAATTTATTTTACTTCAAACTGAGTTATTTTATTGGAACATGACGGACCATTTTTCCAATAGAACACCCAGTAAAATAAACCTATTTTTCTAGGAATATCCTATGGAACATCTTTTATGTGCAAATTATATGTTGTCTGAATGGCAACCAGACCTTATAAAGAAGGTTTGGAGTAATTTTGTACCAGAAAAAGTAAGGTAAGTTGGATGCCTAGAATTTGACCTTTTTTTTCATTAGTTTTTCTATAGGATAACGGTCATTGCTAAAAAATTTGAAAATGATCTTGAAAACACAGAACCTTGGTATGGAACTAAGTACAAGAAGATTGCTATTTCAGAAGATTCTCTTAAGGTGAGAAGATATCTATTTGCTGGAAAAACTTCATTCTTACCATTTATTTGTAGTCTTGGGAAAATGCAGGTCTATGCTCCGAGTTGAAAATGCCAGAAGTTAACGAATTCGTTCCTACTGATTTCCACTTGTATCCCACAGATGATGATGCAAGTACTGTAATTGTTATTCCAAGGAACAAAATTGACAGTTTTTTTGCAGGTTACAGAGTTTCCTATAATAATAGAAGACACTCCTTTGACCAGGGTATGGTTCAAACAAGATGATCAATTTTTACTACCCAAAGCAAATCTTATGTTTGATTTTGTTAGGTAAATATTCCTAATTGACAATTTAGGTATCAAAATATCATTTATCTTCAATTTTTTCAGTCCTCTGGCATATTTGGATCCTCTAAACTGCAATCTCACTCACATGCTAGTGCAATTATTCAGAGATGCTTTAAACGAGTACGCATATGCAGCTGAGCTTGCAGGTCTTAAATGGGAGCTGATCAATACAAAATATGGGTTAATTGTAAGTTCTTCTTTCTTCTCAGCACAATTTTGAATTTTTCTATTTATAGCTTGGCATTGGAGGTTACAATAATAAACAACACATTCTTCTGGCAAAAATAATGGAGAAGCTCACTAATTTCAAAGTAGACTCTAAAAGATTCAATATCCTCAAGGAAAATGTAAAGATATTCATTTTCTATTTTATATTACTATATATAACAAATATTACTTTCTAGTATATACGCAACCTCAAAAATTTTGAAGCAGAACAACCTTATCAACATGCAGTTTATTATTTGACAGTTTTATTGACCGAACATTCCTGGACTAAACAAGAACTACTCTCTGCAACCGATCGTAAGTATTCCATTTTTAAGAAATACCATTTAGCAACAAATTCGAATTATTGATGGAAATAAACCCCTCTATTACAAATTCGTCTTTTATTAAAAAAAGTTGGTTGAATCTCCTACCACTACTATTAGGTATATGAAACTTCATAAGTTTTGGTCCTTTGAAATGTGATTAAATTAAATTTAATAGCAATTTTTATTCAATAAAAAAAATCGAGCTTAAACCACTTGATCAAAAATTATTCATGTTTCGAAAAGGACGTGTTTCTGTCTATTATAATGGCATGACAGATTGTTGATTAAATATATTTAATGCAATTAGTTTTGTCATGGTCTTCTTTGGTTACAATCTCCACAGGTTTCAACTGTAACCGCGGCAGTCATCTTCAGTGGCGTGGTCAAAGTACTCTTCTTAACTTATGAACTGAACATCACTGCCGTAGTTGCAGATGAAACGTTTGAAAATTTTAATAAAAAATGACCACGGCGAAACCCGGAAATCAACCAAAACATTGATGCCAGCCGTAAAAGCCTACATTCCTATAATATTGGTAATTAGTTTGATTACCCAGTTTTCTATGTATTTCTATAAAATCTCTTAGTTCTTGGGCATCGTCTTTGAAAAGTTTATCAATTAACGATACAAAAGTTTAACGTAACATTATTAATGTCACAAAGGAATGACTTTTGCAAATTGTTTTTTTTTTGCTACTTGGGAGCTGTCTGACGTATCCATTTCTCCCCAAGTCTCCAGAAAACACTGCAGCCTCATGGGCTTATCACATTTTCCACCCATTTATTTCTTGATTCCCATTCCAACGATCTTATGCCATGTACTAGTTTATACAGGTCCCTCGCTGGATGTATGGATGCTGGATTCTTTTAAACACAATTTGGGTTGTCTATGAATTGTTTGCCTCACATTTACATAAAATATAACCAGTTTTCTCTGTCTTTTTGTTGCATTTCCACAGCAAAGGTCTCCGTTGTGGAGCCTTATTTTGTTCAGGTGTCCTGTCGATAGATAGTGTCCTGAGAGTGGCCCTGTAATCATTCTGAGTCGATACCTACTAAAGTTCTTCAGTTCTTTCTGAGCCGATACCTACTAAAGTTCTTCAGTTCTTTTCTCAAACGGTCCCTTTATAAAGGTTTTACCATGTGCGTTTCTGGGTATATTTTTCCAGTATTCTTTATGTTTCTTATACACCCACTTCCAAATGTGGTTCTGTACCAAAGATTTCGGATCTCGCACATCAGGTCTACTTCCTACATATGTAGTTGATGATTCATGTCCGGCACACTCATCAGCTGTGATACCTGAGTGTCCAGACACCCAGTACACAGTCAATCAACTTCTATCCGCTAGTTTTTTGGGTCCTTCACGGCATTCAAAGGTCAGCCTCAATGTCATTTTTGCATTCATCAGTCCACTATTGGTCTGAAATACTGATGTGTATTGATCCTTGCATCCCACATTATTACAAGATGTAATAATGTGGGATGCATTATTAGGATCTGGGTCCACCAGATCCTAATAATGGTTACTTTAAAAACGATTAATTCAATGGCTCTGATTTACTAATCCTGCTTTCAACAGAAACTCAAAGTACCAATCTTCTTATAAAATTATCAAACAAAAATTCTCTCACCGCTTCATCGGTTTTAACGGTGAAAGGGAAGAGGGGATTAGTGAAAGCACTTGAATGACCTATAAATAGTCAGATCTGGGAGGAATAAGTCCAGTTATCACCCGAGGACGACTGTGAATACTAACAATCAAAACGTCGTGAAGTAACTTGTTAATAATTTTTTAATTTTTCATCTCATGTTAATAGTTTAAGTTTTTTGATTTACTTTTCTTTTTGCTTATTATAATTGTTATTTTTCAGCTAATCTTTTTTAATTTTTACAGATTCTTTCAGGTATTTCAACTAAGTAGAAGTTCATTTTGACTAATGAAATGAACTTCTACTTAGCTCTCATTTAAGAACGTAATCAGAAAATAATCGCCCCCCAAAAAAATGTATGTATATGAATGATATTCTGCATAATTCAACTAGCATCAGTAAAAAACTATCAATTTTGAAGTTGAATAATCACAGAAGTGATATTTTGTTGTTAGATGCAGTATACTATAAAATGTAACTCTAACAACACTTCAGTGCTTTCATCGACCTAATGCTTCATCTAACGACTTTTCAGTTAGGTGAAACTAGAGCCCAAAAACCAGGAATGCATACCCACCATGCCCCCAAGGGGTTGAGTGCTCTGAGATAGAATCTTCTCCACACGGTTATTGTGAGCACCTCCGCTCACTTCCGAACGCTCCTCAGTCTACTGCTTGGCACTTCTGCGAAACTAATATCTAACCTCTCATAGTTGGAAGTCAACTCTAGTGTACTCCCTTTTTATCTGATAGTTTGTTATACCTGACTCTACTGTGTGTAGTGGTGTATACATGGTATTACTTGACTCAGCTGTCTTTAGAAGACAAGTCTGGGTAAGTAAAGACGATGACATCTCTCCTTACAGAGACGCCATAGGATCGACAAAAGTATCAATCCATTAATCTCAAAGATGAACGACACTGAGCGCAACTTATAACTTCCTACATCAGAGTCAACACGAATTTCACATATCTAGAGACTCGAGAAGCAGCAGTGATGTCAAAATTCATACCGATATTAATAAACTTGAAGACGTTACTTGATTTGTTTATCTAATATTGTAATTGGATGAAATCTCCTTAAATATTTTAAAATTTATTGATATGCTAGAAAATAGGTAATAGAAAAAGCTATTTTTGTAATTTAACATGTGTTCGAAGACTCATTATTTGTCCAGTTTTTTCTTGTTCATATGAATTCCCTACTTAATTTGGAATTGAATGATATAAGAAAATATTTAACCTTTATTAGATATTTTTCAGTTATGAAAAAATTAAGTGTGACGGAAAATTATTTTCATAAAATATGTATTTGACTTCATCAACACTCAGTTTCAATAAACATTCACAATAAGTCTCTTTTACCTGTAGCATAAGTACCATAATGTTTGAGAAGTCAAAAAACAAACTGGATGAATGAGTTATAATTTGTCATCTGAATAAATGGCGGGAGTACTGTATAACCTAAAATTTATTTTGGGCGAATTATACTTTGGATTAATACTTACATTTTGATTTCCAGAAATCACAATTGAACGACTGGAAGCTTTTATTCCCCAGGTGCTTTCCAAAATGCACATTGAATGTTTAGCTCACGGAAACATTAATAGAGATAAAGCCCTCGAATTGGTTCACATTGTGGAGGATAGTTTGACATCGACTAATAGCATGTCTCCCTTATTACCGAGGCAATTGTTGTTGAACAGAGAACTAAAACTGGAAGATGGGTGCCATTATTCTTATGAAGTCAAAAATGAGGTCCACAAGTCATCTTGCATTGAACTTTACTATCAGTGTGGACTTCAGTCTAAAGAAAACAATATCAAGCTTGAATTGGTTGCTCAAATTCTGCAGGAACCATGCTTCAATATTCTACGTACAAAGGTAATGTTGGTACTGAAATGTTGAAATAATATGAAATGATACATGAAGAATGCTTTGATGACTATGGAATTTTAACTATAAGGTTCCAGACAATAAATGGCAACAGTGAAGGTTTGATTGAATGTAAATAAATCTAACATAATTGATTTGACTGAATAATTGATTCTAAGTACAGACTACTGCTCGGGACGGAGAGCGATCTTTTTATATCGTCAACGAACGCTCCGGATCTCTCTGGGGATTTCGGGACTCATCCACACCTTTCGCGACTCATCCACACCTTTCGTGCTGCTTCGCGATGAGACATGCGTTTACTGACTGGGAAATCGGTCAGGGCCGGCTTCAGATTCATTACATTGCCCCCTTCTTAAAGAAGTTTCGCCCCGAAATGTCATCCTTGGCGTGTGTCGATACCTGCAGATCGTTTCCAACATGCTTCTCACAATTCTCCAGTCCAGCCTGTCGAGCCCAGAGGCTAATTTCGGGATTGCCAACTCCACGAGATTCTGGTCGAGCAACGTATCCTTCAGTCTAGTAAGACTCCTCCAGACATCTTCATAGGACGGTTTGTCAACACCCGCTTCAGTAGAACTTAACCGCTGGCGAATAACCTGCTACCTCCTGCCAAGTTGGTCTTTGATAACTTTTCTTCCATTTGATGACTAAACCAAGATCTGGGTCTTCTTCTTGGTCTTCCTTGATCTTATTATCCTCCCAGTTATCGTCTACAGCTCTAGTTCGACAAATGGCTGCTTCCTTCTCTTCTGCTCGTCGGCAATGTGAGCAGTCATCGGGGCATGGTCTCTGTGACAGGGCATCTGCGTTTTTTACGGGGGCTTGCTGGATACAGGCTGACGAATGCACCTTCTCATGGAACCTCTCTAGTTGTTTTGATTTGGTGTTGGTTTTTTGAATGCTTGGATATTTGCTACGCACATGCTCAATTTTCCCACGGTTCCAGCATCTTATTTGTTTTCCTTCAGACAAAACTCCTTTTATCATCTTTCTAATAGTGGCCTCAATATCAGCAGAACCCTGTCCATCTTCATCCATAGTTTGAACTTTGCTCTGGGCTTTGCAGGATTGTTTTATAGCCTCAAACTCCAGAGCTCTTGCCAGTGCATCCACAAGATGTTTGGGACAAGCTAGCGTCAAGGCCTGCCTCGTTTCTTGGTCGCGAAGTCCATCCAAGAATTCCTGAACTGCTAACCGCTCCATTACATTTTCGGGTGTAGCAGGATATGCCAGACGGACCAATCGAGCTATGTCGGCTTCAAACTCCTGCAGGGATTCTCCTGATTTCTGACAGCGGTTCTTCAGCTGTAAATGGTAAACGTGCTCTAGGTGGGCCTGTCCATACCGCAGCTCAAGATGCTTTACAAGTTGGTCATAGTCTTCCTGTTCCTGGGCCGTGAGGGTTTGCAGGATATTCGTTGCTTCTCCACGCAACACCAATGTTAATGCTACCGCCTGTTCTCCTGCATTCCATCCATTCGCTCTGGCCGCAGCTTCAAATTGTCGGCGGTAATTTGCCCAAGGAGTTTTTCCGTCGAACTGGGGCGGCTTCGTGGAGAGTTTTCCTGGCTTTGAACTCTTTCAGTTCCGGAATGGAGTTTTCGGAAACATTTTCTGTGGTGTGGGCAGAATTAATGATTTGGTTTTGCAACTTGTTAATTGTTTTCTTAATTTTGCTGATTTCTGCCTCGAATTCGCCTTTGATTTCATTGCCTAACTTTTTCCATTTTCTTCATTTCTGCTCCTATTTCATCTTTGATCTCCCCTTTGATTTCCTCTCTGATTTTGTCTATCTCTGTCTTGATGGTTCCTATCCTTTCTTCGAGTAGGCTTGCCACACTACAAAGCTCTTTCTTCAAGCCTTCTGCATTTTCTAGAAGTTCTTCCTTCAAGCTATTCGAATTCTCTAGAAATTTATCTTCCAAACTCTTCGAATTTTCCAGAAGCTTTTCCTCCAGGCACTTCGAATTTTCCAGAAGCTTCCCTTCAAGGTTTGCCGAAGTCCATCGAGTTTGCTCACTATTGAACTCAAATCACCCCCAGAAACTTCGAATAAATATGTTTCGGGATCTTCTCCTGACTCAATCAAGTTATCCCATAATCTCTTCTGGAGTACCGATTTCTTTCCGGAAGAATCTAGTTCTCTTTCCTCCAATTCTTGCTTCAATTCGGCGACTTTCAAGTCCACCAGGCGCACTTTCCTTGAACACATTTTTATCTATTAGTGTCTATTTTACTCAAATCTGAATATGTCCACTTATTTAATGGAGTCCGAAACACTAATTTATTTTCACAAGTCTATTTTTCGCGAGAAAGGTCTATCAGTTTATGTTTCCGTCGTCCGGTACTGTCCACTTCGCGAAACACAATGAATCACCAGTCTATCTGCGCGAAAATGCGAAAGTTTTACAGTCAATTTCACTGTAATACAAAGACTGTCCACCAAGCGTTCACAAATTTATTTTAAAAATCCACTTCTTATCACCAATTGTAACGAATTAAAGAATTAACTGTCTTAATCAAATTTATCTTTAACAATATTTCACTATCACAACTAATTTATATACAATACTTAGTAACTAACGCTTAATTTATCTTCATAGTTAGATTCCTTTCTTTAAACGCACGATTCACTTTCTAAGTACAGACTGCTGCTCGGGATGAATGAATACGTTTATTATGTCTCTTTTGGTGTGTTACATGTTTTTATAAATTTACAATTTTCTCGGGACGAAGAGCGACCTTTTTATATCGTCAACGAACGCTCCGTATCTCTCTGGGAATTTCGGGACTCATCCACACCTTTCGCGCTGTTTCGCGATGAGACATGCCTTTGCTGACTGGGACATCGGTCAGGGCCGGCTTCAGATTCATTACAATAATATAAGGCAAATACAAATTTGTTCCCAATAATATTAAAAATTTCGACTTCTAACTCGTAACTGTAAATATAATCTAAAAATGGATGTTTGTTGGTTGGTTGGTTGGTAAGTGATAAACTTCTACATCGCTCAACCGATCGTGATGAAACTTGACATGTATAAGTAATTTTTCATAGAGAAGGTTTTTAGGCTATCGATTTGTCTGTAACTCGCCACTAGATGGCGCTATAGAACAATTTTTGAAAGCACTGTTCTATAACGCTGCCCACGCCTAAGTTCGTTGATTCTGATTCTGTCAAAAAATTGGAACAGCAGTGATACAGCAACATAGTACTAGTCATATATAATTACAGAGTCCTTGTTTTTATTCCTGCTTTTGTTAGAAATTCAAACGAAATGTCGAAATGTCGGTTAAATGATAAGTTGACGTTTGTGAACGTATTTGGAAGTAGGAGTTTCTCAGTGTTTACTTGTGATTGAAAATAATTGAAACACAACTTTAAAGTAATGAAGTTGCTCATATGTGATTGGCCTCGTGTGAGTAAGAAATCTAATTAGGTTTGATTGGTTAGGTGTGAGTTATGGATCTATGGATCACCTACTTACCTAACAAAACACGCTCAAATAATTTAAGCCTTTTTTCAATATCATAGAAAAATTTCCTCATTTCGATTACTATCCCACTGTTCCAGTTATTTGTGAATATGTTTATTGAAATATTTTTTAGTTGTCGACTTTCTTCAATGATGTCAAATTATATTCATATTAGATTTAATTTTTTTTCAGGAGCAATTAGGCTATATAGTTTTCAGTGGAGTAAGGAGGTCTAATGGTGTTCAGGGTTTACGAATAATAGTACAATCTGATAGACATCCCACTTACCTGGATACCAGAATTGAAGCATTCCTTGACACTATGATGGTGAGTATTTTGCTATCTTTGAAATTACAAACTAAATTTTTATGGAAAATATACATTTCAGGAATATATTTCTGATATGAGTGAGGAGGAGTTTTTGAGACATCGTGAAGCGTTGGCCGCTCATCGATTAGAGAAACCCAAGCAACTGAGTACTTTGACTAATAGATTTTGGGTGGAAATCACATCTCAGCAGTATCACTTTGACAGAGCAAATAATGAGGTATCTTATTTGAGAACACTTTCAAAGAAAGACATTATCGAATTTTATGAGGTGAGTTTTGTTATATTAATATCTTCTGATACCAACATATACAAAATAAGAATAACATAAATTAATTTTTCAACATGAAATTTTCACTCATTTTTATTAACTGATATATGTTTGTGACATTTGAATAAATGCAAATGTATATAGTTAAATTTGAATAATTAAATGATGTTAGTTTCTCCATTCAAAAAATTCAGAAAAAACGAATCTAGGTAAAATTGAAAAAAAGGTCCTTAGTTCAGTAGTGAAATATTTACCATTTTGAAGATTATGAAGATTGAATAAATATATTTTCAACATCAATCATTACAAAATAAAATATAAAATTATCAATTATTGCACTTTGAATGAGAATTCCTGATACTGCAATGTTGTAACTCCATCAATTACAGTACTACTTGAATAGTGGTGGAGAAAGGTTCCAGTTGTGTTTGTGTTTTATGTAGTGGATCACTTCAAAGATTAAGGTCCCTTTTTTTTTTTGAGTTATCTTTGGATATATGTTCACTTACCAATTTGATAGTTTGGAACGTACCTTTCTTTTACTGAATTTCATCATTGCACGCTGGTGTGAGACTATAACAGAAAAAAGTAGACATATGTTGTGCTCTGCTATGCTACTTTCTACAATTACAAAACCTACCGACCCTAAAGCCAAAACACCTACAGATATTCCTGTTATTTTGAAATGAAAATAGATATGTTACACTTGATGAATAATTCCCTAGGATAAAAATTCTATGAGTTTTGATGTTTAAATGAATAAATATTATTATTATAATAGGTGCATTGACATATATATTATAAACATTATCATTGTATTGCTTGAATATTATGGATATGATTTTTTGGAATCGACAGATTTCAAAGACTTTTATTAGATTTTTCTTATTGAGAACACAAGTCGTATTTGATAATAATTTTTTAATAAGCAAATTGAGCAAGTTATGTTGTATCTAACCATTTTCTCATTTTCAGGATGTTCTCAAAAACAAAGCTGCACGAAGAAAGAAGCTTTCTGTACAAGTGGTATCAATGGCAGAAGGTGGAGCTGGCAAAGTGAATGAAACAAGATGTCCCGAAGAAAATGGACCTACTGCCTCAGTAATAAATGATATTACAGTATTCAAGAGCATTCACGAGATGTACCCTCTAGTGCAACCATATATAAACATTACTAGGAAAGGCAATAAGTGCAAACTTTGACAAACTTTATAGTATTTTAGGAACTAACTTTGTTGAGCATAATTTTATTGAATGTTTTAAGGTACTTACAGGATCTGTTTCGAAAACAGAATGCACTCAACCGCAACTTGCAACTCATTAAAGTTAATTCTATTTTGATTTACCTACATTTCACTTGGACTCGACTCCAACGAACCAGGGTTTTAAAAAAGGATTTCTATCAAAAGTATAAATCTTAAGGATGTTCCTCTGAGAAATTATTAACTTTCTGTTTTCCATCAATGTGAATAATAGGGGGTCATTGTGAAATTTATTTAATGACTCTTGATAGTAAGTGGAAGTCACAAATCCAGAATGTCACAAGTTTTAGTGGATTGCATGCCACGTTACTAACCATTAACACTTTTTTTGAAACACTGTTCTACTAGAAGTATGTCATACTGAACCATGGCTGAGAAGTGGAGCTAGCCATAACTAAAAATGAGAAATTGGTTAGATATTGGTGACTAACAATAATATAATATTTATTCACCATTGATTTGCCTTCCAGTATCAATCTAGTAATATCTCCCAAATAAAGGATTATTAACGCCAATAATACTTTTGCATCAGGTATTTCGAGAGATTTTTTTTGACATAAACAATATCATGTAACAATTTCAATTTGAAATAACGACCAAATTGGAGGAGCTACCTTAAAACTAGAGAACATTTCTTGTTTCATCAATTCAAAATAACTATTCACCAATTTTATATTTGCGCAGTGCCAAATCATGACTATTTTGAAGACATCAAAATGTCATACTGCAGTATTTCTTGAGAAACCCTGGTATTTAATGAATTGTGAGGTGGCTGGCGTGCTCTTTTGAAAATAGACCATCTAGTTTACTTGTTTGTTGTCTCATTTTAAATCATTTTATATATTTGTTGAAAATTTAATGATCATGAAGTAAATCATTACTTTACCACTGATCGATTCATTAGAGATTTGAAGTGGGGACAGGACATAAATATTGCAGTTTTTCTGAAGATAGCAATCGACATAGAATACCCCACTGGAATTATTAGTGGGTTCTAATAGTAACATATTATGGGTACTTTCCGACATTCTCTAGAATATTGAAAATAGTTTAATTATTTGATATGTTATGAACATCTCTAATTAAATAATTGCAAATGATACCCTGTATAAAAGTTATATGTACAGATGATGATAACGAATTGGGATTGCCTGTCACAAAGTTTCAGAAATTTTCAGTATCTCTGTGATTAATGAAGATATGCTGAAAAATACCCCCTAATTAAAAAAAACTATAATCAATCATTCAACATTTATGAAATCCCCATGCACGGATTCAAATTTGAATATTTCTGTATGTTTATCTGGATAACAAAGAAATGAAAAAATATATTCCAAAAAAGGCGAATCTGAATAAATTTAATTCAAACAAACATATACATAATACAAAAATATAACAATTCAACAATGATCGGGAAACACTAAGGAACTCTAGTATAAACATTTCAATTAGTTTAAAAGATGAAATTTTATTTGGCCTTCAGCTGATTTCTTACCATTTTCAAATGGCTTCTGAAATTGCATCAAACATAATTTGGTATTGGCCTATAACAACTCGTTTATACTACTTTCACATTAGGTTTTGTCCTCCATTTTTCAACTCGCCACGTTTTGTAGTACATCACATGATTATTTTAGTCCTAACATTGTTCAAAAATATACAAATAAGACTTTTTGCACAATAAAATGTATCTTATCAAGTGTTCAACAATTTGTCCTAGAAAAAGAAATATACCTAAACTAAACAAAAAATACATTTCATTCCATACTAAATGTTTCACAAAGAAAACCTCAATTTTTCAAAAACATTTTATTCATGAATTTAAGAATAATTCCAATTTGACAATCATGGTATCATTGTATATAAAGCCTTTACCATTCACTGAATCTTCTGAAATTATGAACGTGCTGTCGTCAGATCTGATACCATTCAAAATATCAGAACTGATATCTGAATTTTGGCGTAGCTGGTTCAAAATGATGATTTTGTGTTTTTTCAAGAATCCGTTGCTTGAAGGGCGCAACAAAATTCCAAAAAAGTTCTCTTCCAAGTGATTGGGGTAAAACTGCAGATGAAGAGTGTGACCTGTAAATATTATTATAGATCGAAAGTAAAATAGTTTTTATTCTACCGACCAAGTACAAAAAATTCAGGGCTGGACTTATACATGTCTTTCTTCCCTAGAAGTTTTCTTATTTGATGAATATCCCAGTAGTAGTAATAAATGCTTCCTTTATTTGAGTTTGCTACTGTATCATTAAATGTAGATATTTCATCAGCTATTGAATACTCTGTATGGTCCAATGACTTTTCAATCAAAACTGTCTGCTTCTCAAGACTTTCAGTTGATTGCGGTATAACAAATCCATTACTTTCGAGAATGCTTTTGATACCCTCGATTTGATGTAGAACCTTATTTTGCATTTCATCTAATCTCTCTTGAATATAACCTGTGAACAGAATACTTGACTCATATTTTCAATTAAATGGCTCAGCCAACTTTGGAACCCCTAATTTTGATCTGATTCTTTATTCTGAAGATTCATCTTTATTCTTATAAAACTCGATGAAATGTCAATATTGAACCTGAACCCTGAACCAGCTGGAGGGTTCCAAAATCTTTGGTAAAAATATAGAGTACTCAAAAGTTATACCTAGTAATATACCCAAAAAGACTTTGTAGAATCTGAGAATAGAATGGGATCTGCGTAGAATATTTAACAGCGCTGTATTATCCAATTGAAGGACATATGAACAGAATAGGGCTAGTTAATGGGAAGCTTAGCTGTAGGCAAGATGGCCGCAGTCACAAAATAGCGGATCACACATTGTTTCACAACTACCTCAATATGGGTATCAAATGACAGGGCTTGACTAGTAGAATAGTAGTACATTTTGAAAAAGATGCAAATTCAAGTCTTCTGCTTAATGGAACAATGCTTCAGAATAAAAACCAAAATGTTTGTTTGAATATGGTTGACAATGTTCATAGATTTGAAATCCATGAAAAAAAATTATTAACATAATGAAAAGCTAGAAACACTACGACCAAAAAATTTGAGGGAGATATTTTAAAAAGAAAAGGAATTTGAAATTCAATAAAATTTGAAAAAATAAAAAAGATTCTTAAATTAACTATTTCGCTATGTTTTGATGGTTTGTATCCACAATTGGGTTATCACTCAAATACGATTGTGAATTAATTTCCATTTGAGGTCAAAATAATTTTTTTCATTTCATAATTCTCATTTTATTGATATTTCCTTTCTTTTCAAATAACTAGACCTAGTATTTTGGTCTTGGTATCTTCAGTTTTTTCATTACTTTTAATATTCGCTTTTTTCCATAAATTTTAAATGTGTTAACACTTTGTTAGACGATTTCAGTCAGAATCTCTAATATTCATAACCAAAAACGTTCGAAACTTAAAAAAAAATCATTTAACCACTCCAACTTGCTCCATGATAGGTTGGCTTGAAAATACTGTAATGGAGGCAACATGAAAAATATACAGGGCTATTCAAGTTTATGCATGTTGATTTTGAAAACGGTGAGAGATAACTTGTTGGTTAATATACCTATTAAAATACTGTTGAATGATATGAAAACGTTTTATTTGACTTTTTTGATTGTGGAGATGATAGGAAAAAATAAAATAAATACTTTTCTTGAATATTTTCTTTATTTACAGATAAATTGAAGAATCTGTTTATATTCTGCTATATTCAATGATCTATCAGAAAATGTAACAATTGTAACAATTTTTTGTTGAACAATATTGAGAAATTAAATTGGCTTTGATATTCCTCACAGTTTTGTCAATTTAATGATCATGAAGTAAATCATTACTTTACCACTGATCGATTCATTAGAGATTTGAAGTGGGGACAGGACATAAATATTGCAGTTTTTCTGAAGATAGCAATCGACATAGAATACCCCACTGGAATTATTAGTGGGTTCTAATAGTAACATATTATGGGTACTTTCCGACATTCTCTAGAATATTGAAAATAGTTTAATTATTTGATATGTTATGAACATCTCTAATTAAATAATTGCAAATGATACCCTGTATAAAAGTTATATGTACAGATGATGATAACGAATTGGGATTGCCTGTCACAAAGTTTCAGAAATTTTCAGTATCTCTGTGATTAATGAAGATATGCTGAAAAATACCCCCTAATTAAAAAAAACTATAATCAATCATTCAACATTTATGAAATCCCCATGCACGGATTCAAATTTGAATNTTTTTTTTGTGTTGAACGGTTTTATAGAAAAAAAAAGATAATGATGTGGATAATGTACTGAAGATTAAAAAATAATTCGGAAGGTCCTAGGTAGAGTCATCACACAACTCTCTTCAGTAATCTATGATATCAGATAAAAAAAATAAAATCTTTGGGTGTAGCGTAACCTGTATCAATATGTAAATATTACGCCCAATGATTTTATTATTTTTTTACCTGATCAATACCATAGATTGCTGAGAAGAGTGATGTGATGAAAAATGGATTGAAGAGAAAGTTTTATAAACTGTTCATAAAATCATTTAGTAGCAAAGAAACAAAAATAAAAGATAATTAATGATGAAGTTAGGAAGTTTCACAGAAAATATTTGTTCCCTTTCAGTTATAATCTGTTTAACGAATTAACTTATTCAATAAGAGGATGTTCTAAAGTGCATTGAAACAATACAAAACGTGAACCAAAAATACTGGATCTGTAAGTATTTGATTGATTTTGGATTTTCACCATTATTTACCACAATATATAAAATATTTTTTTACAAAACATTTATTTGAGATTATTAGATCATTGAGATCTTATTCACAGAAGCATTTCCAAAAATATTTCAAGAAGACAAAAGTTTCTAAAATATTATTTGTTTTGTATAGCTTTAGGGTAATATGAATTGTTCGAAAGTTATCATGGCATTAACTTTCTTCATCAGAGCTGAATTCAAATGAATTTTGTTGTTGAAGTTTTAGAAAGTTATTTCTACGAGTTTGTTAAATCTTCAATGTCGAGTTTATAGTATGATTATAAAAAAGATTTACTTCAAATTAAATGAGCTTTGTACATCGGTTATAATGTCAATATACAATTCAAAAAGATTTCTAGCCCCACTCTTTTAACAGCCACCATTTATGTTCTTTCGATAAAGTAAACAAATTAGTCAATACTCAAAGAAATTGAATATTTTTTCTTGAGAAATGAATGTTTGATGTTTACATCAAACTTACACTTAATGTAATAATGAAAATTCAGAATATAAAGGGCATTTAGTTTCAATATAATTATGGAAGTGTATGACAACTACGTGTATGACAAATAACCTATTACATAAATTAGTTTTTTCAAAAAAATTTAATGAATATTCCTGTGAAAAATAGTACAATGAAATTCCATGCAAGAGGCAGAGAAATAAAATGTGTAACAAGTTAATATTTACATACAACTTTGAAACCATTAAAAAGTTTACAAAACAAAACTGTCAAATACATTTTTTTATCTACCTTTCTTTGAATCAAATAAAAATCTATATAGGCCAAAGTGATACTCGATTTCAATTCTATTTATGAATTGAAAGTGTGCACCTTTCTGTAGTTTTTTAGAAAGAATAAAAGAAGTCTACGACATTAATGGAACATAGATTTGAACATGAATTTACATGATTATCAAACAAGACAACCCAATAATCTGTTAAACAAAAAGTCTAAAATCTGTATTTTCCAGAGAAATAATTGCATATAATGAATTATCAAATGACGTTAAACAATTTTCCAACACAGAAAAAATTAAAATAGCATCAAAGAACTATTTGTTTCAATAACTCACAATATTATATTCGTTTTTTTTTTGTTATTAATTAGACCATTTTTGAAATAACTCTCTTCGAAGTTGTATATATGAATATTTCTTGTAAGAATAATTCCCTGTATACACCATTGTAGTTTCTTGGGAATTAATGAATAAATGAATGATTGAAACATTGAAATTTTCAATGTTAACACTGAAAAAAAAGTTGAAAATTGTTCGACAATAAATTTTTTGGAATGCTACTTACTAGATGTACAAACTCCCTTTAGTTGCCTAGTTAATGTAGCGTTGGCAGAAGCTTGTAATTCTTTTGAACTTATTCTGCAAATAGCATGTTGAATTTCTTCAGCTGTATCATTAGCAGCAGAGAATCCTAAAAATAGTTTGAAATATTTTTTCAATGAATAAATCCTATACTCACCTTTAGATGGAAGATATAGGCCATTAACAGAGAAACTATTCATCAAAATATAAAATAATATCAGCATCTTATCCAGAAGGAGCCAGATAATACAGACTTTATAAAACACAAACTGAAAATACAGTAGTAACCCACTTATTTTCACTCAGCTCTCTGCCCCCTTTATGTGATTTTAATGACAACATAAATCTAAAGCATGTTGAAATAGTCCAATTTTAACTGCATTTCAGACTGCCTATTACTCTCAAGTGGAGCTGAAACATTTCACAAGCATACCAACTGAACAATTTAAACAAAATAATGTGTCTAATTCAGGAAAATTCTAGCCCAAAGTATACACTTGTATGGTAGCAAATCCTGGAAACTGAAACAAGCTAAAAAAACAATGAGTTCACTACAATTTTACTACACTCAGGTGCATAGAAAAATCTTGAAATGTCAACAAATTTTGATCTTGAATAACTTTCTTATTTTCAGATCGATTTTCATAATTTAATTTTGTAGTAGAATGACCATCTGGTGATATTTATTATATCTCGTTTATATGATATTAGGTATTTTGAGATAACCTAGGAGATGGTTGTTAATAAAGTAGTATAGAGTAGGATACCTGTATACAAAAAGTAGGAATATACTTACTGGAGAAGTATTTGGATATTTCCTTACAAATGGCGAAGTTGACCAGAAAGAAACTCCCGAAATCGTTCAGGTCAATTATGAAAAGGAAATTCCATATGGAGGTGATCAAAATGTAATTTGCTTTGAAAAAAATGAACCAATCTCATGTCGAAATGGATGACATTTACTACAAGCAGAATTCCAGAACCAATGAAAATTACGTTTTCTCAGGAGAAAGTGAAAATCCCAATGCTTGGATGAAATCTTATGAATCGTTGTGCTGTCCAAACAAGTGGAAATCTGACTCTGATAAAATAAATAATTTACGCTTCAATCTTTCAAGTATTGCACTAAAATGGTATGAAGACAGATGCATTCGCAAGTCCAATAGTCAGAATATTTGGATAAAATGAAAAACAAGTTTCTTACAAATTTTTATGAGAATACAACAAAGAAAAATCTCTATTCTACAGATACACTAATGGTGGAATACTTGAGTATTGATATGAAAAACAAATATTACTACATTGTGCTGAAGAGAATTTGTGTGAAAAGTCAAATATTGCTTTAATTATTTTGGGTTTACCGTATCTTATTCAAAATCAATTGAGAAGTAAAATCATTAATGATAATGAAGATTTGATTCATGCGTTGAAAAATTTGAATTTGATACAAGAAATTACAAAAATAAACCTGAAGCAAGAGAAATGCAGAACAAAATGAATGAGAAACAACACCAAGAAAAAACAGGAAATGAAAATTCAAAGAATTCAAAAAGTAAATATGTAATAAATGACCGTCTGGTCTGAATTGGCGATCCCTATATAAGTACTACTATGAATATATAATAATCATCTCAGTATTTACTCGCACCAGAAAAATTCACCCCCCTGAAGGTTATTTCTGAAAGATGATAAGGTTCCCTTTTCATACGAAAACACATGTGTTTTGGTATTTAAAATTCAACTAAAAATATAATAAATCCAACTTATTACAAATATAAAGGAAGTTCTAATTATAATTATTGTGATTTAGATGATCAGATAAACAAACAAAGAGAATTTGAAGGAAACTGAATCGTAATATCAAAATGAATGAATAAACAACTTATAGGAAACGGGCCAAGCTCACACACAGGATGGTCGAGTGTCATCCAAAAGCTGTATTTCACCTCACGATGTATCTATTAAACCTAGATGATAAAAATATACCTCCGTTTTCCTCGTAAATCAGGCTTTATTGGAAAATATTTCAAATGTGAATTTCAAAATTTCTCAATATTTCAAGGTGACAGTTTTCCATATACATCAGTGTATATTATTTTTCTGTAACTTCAACTTTTTTGTCAATGAAAGGAAGTAAGCACTTGATTAAAGAAAATGGTGTAATAAAGATATCCAACATCTATTAATCCACTCTACTAATACATGTGTTACGAATCGCACGATAAAAGGTAAGAACTAGTTAATCCTTAGATTCGACTTCTGGATGCAGGAGGTGACAAATGGGAAACGGAAAAATAGATTTCAGCAGATTTTTATTGAATACATACTTTTTAGAGATTAAAAAAAGATTTATGTGTTACTATATTTGATAAGGAAAAAGTGCTGTTTGAAATTTGTTACAGTAATTATCTTCATCAAAGCTACATATAATTTTTATAAGTGTATATAAAGAAAATTAAATAAAGCATCACAAAGATATAATTATTTTATGAAATAACCCATTTAAATTGATTTTTCAAAAATATTTTTGGAATGATGGCAGGGTTCAAATTTCTTCGTTCAAATCATAATTTTCTTCAGGAAAGTCACCACAGGTAATATTCAGTGGTTTTACAAAGGCTCCATATTTTTCAGGACATTCAAAATACCTTTTACCTTTCAAACTGAAAAATATGATTACAGTGTGGTGAAATGAATCGAATTAAAGATCGGACTTACGATCCATCATTCTTGCCTAATGGTTCATCATATTTAACTCCTATCCAGTAACCAGACAAACCATCAACGGTTCCAGAATACATAACTGTGCCTAACCTAGTTGCTGCATTTTGAACAGTAACTTTGCATCTAGAACCTACTTTTGTGTCTTCTGCCATTTTCTTTTCAGCTTCTTCCAACTGTCTCTTTTTTTCCTGATTTTGTTCATTATACTTTCCTGGAATCAAAGGTAATATGTTGTGAAAATATTGTGGAAACAATAAGAACAAGATATAAAAACGGGTTCAAGAAGAAAAAAAAAGCTTTTTAATTTTTTTATGATTATATTTGACAGCATTTCATTCTGTAAATTATGATTTTTCTGTATATATGGGCACACTTTTACATTTTGATATATTTTATATTTGTCATAAGGTTAATGGCAAATAAAAATTCATATATAATTGTGAAATGAAGTTTATTAATATTATTCGGAATTCTTTGGAGAATTCTAGAAATTGAATAATGGAAAAATGCTTGGTTGTACTTAATATTCATATTATTGATATCCAATTATAATTGAAAACTTTTTTTATGAAGTTGAATTCATTGAAACTACTATCAGGTCTATGTTCGGTCATAGTATTCACATAATTGGTAACAAATGATAGTTTCAAAGATTTTTCAAGTTAAAAATTAAGTACTATTCCAAAGTCATATTATTTACATTTAAAAAATCTGTTTTGAGGGTTCAACTTCTCCATAGTGGCTTCTTATTACTTTGTTTATATTTGTCAATGTAACTTAAAGATATGGAAACTTCGTCCAGTCAGAATGTACTTTTATTATTCACTAGAGATTACTCTTAAGAATTACTGCTTCTGAATATTATTAATTTTCTTACCCAATTCATTTTTCTGTAGAAATGATCGAACAGTATCAGTCCTTTTATTGTATTCCTCTTCAGGTAGTACGAATTTCGGAACATCATCTAATTCACTTTGAGCTGTATTGAAGCGCATTTGAAATTGATCAATAACATGTAACCGCACACCATCTTCCAATGGGTAGGACCCAAGGAGGGCATTATTATTCTCTAGTTTACATATCAATTTGTTATTTTCATCATATGCCTCAACTTGCATTGTATTACAGCTTCCTCCAGTCATCAACTCAAGCTTCACCTGAAGAATAAGTTGATTTATGAAATAATTCAAAATGAATTTTTAAATATTTTCACTACTTTTAGGTCTGATATTGTCAAGTCTTTGGGAAACCGTTTTTCACTATATACTGAATCTCCTTTTGAGGTGGAAATATGACAATTTATGAAATCTGCTGTTATTACTTTGAAATTTGTCATTTTGATGTTTATTCAACAATTTTGCAATATTAATAAGACACTAGTAATAAACATCAACAATAGGACACTTCTTTAACTTGTCATTTGTCATTAACCTTATAGCCTTCAACATTCTGATTTCTGACAGTAAATCCAGAAATCTTCTAGTGCACAATTTGCATAGAACTAACCCATACTAGACTTTTCATTTGGGATGCAAAGTTTTTAACCACTTTGATGACTATAAAAAAACTCCATTATTATTATTTTCAATCCAGACTTAGGACATTAATTATTGAGAAAAATTGTTATAATATTGATGAACGTATGTCATAAGAAAGTGTTCATTTATATTGTCAGTCAATTTTTATATTTGTGCCCTTGATCAAATGACATCATTTGTATTATGACACTTTGAAGTTCTTTAAATGTGCTCTCCTGTATCTGTTTTCATTTAGTTTCGTTCGTTTACAAGAATTTTGATAATCCTATATTTTTATATATTTCAATTCGTTTCCATTTATATTCATAACTTATACTTATGTCCATATTCTGGAAATTCTTACTGAATACATATATACTGGTTATGACGTTTTTGTCAATTACTGTTTGGATGTTTTAACACATTTATGATTTCCAACTGGAAAATGAAGATTTATTATTATCATCGTTATTAATCATAATAAAGATGTATAGAAAGGAACCCACAGGTGTTTTTAATGATTCACTTTTGATTTGTGGATGTGAGAAATGAGATTGACCCAAGTTGTGAAGATGAAGGAATAGATCGGTTCATGGCAGAGGTCTAGAGAAACTCCTTCAGAAATATTTGACAAATAGAACTGATTCCGAGGCAGGAGGACGGCTGTGATCGTGGCCAGATCACTTGTAAATGGTAACGATCAAACCATTTCAGTAAGAATTATTGTCAATCCTGCTAATAACAGGTTACCTCCCAAGAAAGACAAGTAATAGACACCTGTAAACCGATTGTGAAAATTGCCAGAATAGAGAAAGAAGGTCCTCTGCAGTGTGCTCAACAACCTGCGAAGGAACTCATCGACACCTTCAGGAAGACATGAAGTCATCTGTCTGAAGAGGAACTAGTCAAGGACACCCGATTCGTAGAGGAAGAGAACGACATATTTGTGAATGGCAAAATCATACTGGCGATGCAAAGGCCATACGTCAACCACCGAGACGATTGCAAAACAGGACGAAGCTTCATCCATCATCAAGGACATGTTGGAGAGGGAAGTGATCGAAAAATCAAGCAATCCCTGGTCGTCACATGTGCTGTTGGTGACTAAGACTATACTAAAACCTAAGACTAAGACTACAGGAGACTTGATCATTTCACCATCAGATAGGATAGTTCCCTCTTCCTAGAATAGATGACACTTCGAACATCTTGACTGAATGCAGATGATTCCCAACATTAGATCTAGAAAGCGAAATTGGCAGATAGCCCTTCGCCCCAACAGTAATGAGAAGAATGCCTCTTCCACTGGCAATGGATCACATTGGTTCAAGTTTATACCGTCTGGATTATACAATGCACCCGCAACATTTGAACGATTGATGGAGTAGGTGCAATGAGAACTTACCTGTAAAATATGCTTGATATATCTTGATGACATTATAGTAACCGGAACATCTGTCAAATTAAAGGAATGTTTTCACAAAGCTACGAAATCGTCCATTTTCAAATCAATCTCAAAAAGTGTTACCTCTTTAAAAAAAGTGTGAATTTTTTGTGTCCTCAAAAGGAGTTGGCCAACACAGTAGAGCAAGCACGATGTAAGAAGTTTCCTTGGACTCTGTAGCTTTCACCGGCATTTCATGTAGGACTTTCAAAAAATTGCCAGATGGCTGCAGAGCTTGACTTCGTTTTGTCATGTGATCAGAGTCAAAGGAGTTGACTCTTACGTGGTATTAAACCGATAATAACAAATAAACATCTTGGTATAAATTAGACACAAGTTATTTTCTCTATTCTATATTTGATATGAATTTTCAGGAAATAAATATGTCATCAATCGAACAAGATCGATGAAGTCGTTTTTCTACAACTGCACTGTAATTTATAATTTTCTTTTCATAATGCAGATATTTTTACAACTATTTAGGAATAACTAGCTTCAAAAACGGCACCATTGTAAAAATGGAATTGTGTCGTAAACTCCTTTTTCGAAAATAGCATGTGCTGACAAGATTAAATATTTCACCAAAAGTGTATTTTCAAAAATACCTGAAAATCGCCGACCTTTTTAAATTATGACAAATGGCAACTGAATACCTAACACAGAGAGCAAATGTAACTGAGACTACATATCTCCATTATAGAACGCTTGCCGATCGAAGCAAACTAATCGAGTGATGTATTAAACGAATACACCTATTGAGCGTAGTGAAGTGAATATGACATGATAGAAATAAGAGCCAAAGGGTAGCAACAGACAGTTTGTCTAAAATAAAAGTATCTGTTAAAATGGAAACATTCGTGACTTAATGCGCCTGAATGGAAGCAAAAGTCATAAACATAGAGAGAGAGATGGCAGAAGAAGAAGTTTATGAAAAAGCTGGTCAATTGCGCTCGAATGCAACAGCCATAGAAAATATTGAGAGTAAGAAATAAATAAAAACATAACCAAACTTTGTTGCTAGGTTAGTAGTCGAGAATTATTCGTTGTGAAAAGTGCAAACTTAGTTTGATATGTCAGATACCGAAGGAAAAATCAAAAATAAGAAGAATGGAAGTAAAAGCAAAGAAAAAGTTAAAATTTTCACGAAAAAAAAGAAACAAAATCAACCAGAGTTGGCCATTATAAAAAAACTGCAATCTAAATATGATACTGTAGGTTTAAATAACTTTTTATTTACACATCTATCATAGTTTTTATTGACCAAATTCGGCAAAAATGAAAATATGTATTGAAGAACTTGTATAGGTGTAGAAAGGACAAGCCTTAAAGTCAATATAGTTTTCACAAATAAAAATGTGTTTGTACTTAATGTTTTAGAGACCAGTATCTAAATTTTGCAGTTATTTTCTTATAAGTTGTCTTATTTCAAATTTTCTCTGACATGTCAAAGCGGATTCGCAATATCTTAATGAATTTGAAAGTAAGACAACTCCTGAGATAAGAGTTGCAATATATAGTTGGTTATTACTAGTGAAGATGACATCAGATTTCAGTGTTCCAAATGTTATGATAAGTACCCAGTAACTTTCGTGCAACACCCTGTAAGATTATATTTTTTTTTGGAGACAATTCATAACTATGGCAAGTGATTGATAAACAGCACATTTTTTTTAGTGAAAAATATATTTATTCACTCATTGGAGTGAAGGAAAGTTTGTTTTTCTTACAGCTATATAAAGTTCTCCATTATATATTTTTAATTTTTTCAGATTGTGGGAGTGGAAGTTCCCACAAAAGTAAAAAAAAACTCGATTTTTTCATAAAAAAATATTTTTGTTCTCTATTATCATACTTTTCAGATTGATCCAAAATCCATAAGTAAATTTGGGGATTTTCCATTATCAGCCAAAACTTTGAAAGGACTTCGAGAATGTGGATATCACAAACCAACAGAAATACAGAAAGAAACAATAGGCCTGGCTCTACAAGGCAAAGATATTTTGGGTGCTGCTCAAACAGGTTCGGGAAAAACTCTAGCATTCCTTATTCCTGTTTTAGAGAAGTTATTCGTCAAACAATGGACAAAACTTGATGGAGTAGGTGCACTTGTGATTACCCCAACGAGAGAATTGGCTTATCAAATTTTTGAAACATTACGGAAAATGGGGGAGCATCACGATTTTTCTGCTGGGTTAATTATTGGTGGCAAAGACTTGAAATTTGAAAGGAATAGAATGGACCAGTGTAATATTATAATTTGTACTCCTGGAAGGTTATTGCAGCATATGGATGAAAATCCTTTATTTGATTGTGTGAATATGCAAGTCTTAGTACTTGACGAGGCAGATAGATGCCTCGACATGGGTTTTGAGCAAACTATGAATGCAATTATTGCCAACTTACCCCCAAAACGACAAACTCTATTATTTTCAGCTACACAGACTAAATCTGTCAAAGATCTTGCACGTCTAAGTTTGAAAGATCCTTCTTATGTCAGTGTACATGAATATTCTGAATTCAGTACCCCCAAGGAATTATCACAAAGCTACGTGATATGTAATCTACATGATAAAATAGCTATATTGTGGAGTTTTATTAAAAATCATCCCAAGAAGAAGATCATGATATTTTTTTCTAGCTGTAAGCAAGTCAAATATGTTTATGAAATTTTCTGCAAGTAAGTATTACGTATGCAAATTTGGTAATTTTTTGTTATTTAGCCTCCTGTAAATTTTTAATTTTTGTCATTTGAACCCTACAGACTTTCATCCGCAGATTACAGATATGAAAACTTGTAAAATGTCACTATTTAGAATCTCATTATGCAGATATTGAAGACATTTTGCTTTATACTGTTTTTCCCATACTATGATTTTTTTTTCTCTTAACCATTAGAAACTAAGGTATCTGTGATGTCACAATTAAAAATTATATTTACCATCTTCTGAGCGTTTTGTCATTCAGTACAATCAATACACTTTTTTACTATACAATTTCCATTAAGCTATTGGGAACCACCCTCTTTAAAGTAAAAAATTTCATCTGATAATTAACAGTCTTATATTTTGTGTGATAGCTCCACCTGATTTTGCTGAAATCAGATGACACCTGAGTTCACACAGATACCCTTTGTTAATATTTGGTTGATTACATTTTTTTTGAAAAGGATTGATTTATCAACATTATCTTTTTAATACACTTATCATAGTTTCAAACATGATCTTTTTTCCTCCATTAGGGCAATGATTTGGATTTGAAAATTATTAAACTTATATAAATATTTCCAACTTCTACAGAACAAATTACAGAAAATTCATGGAGTAACATATGATGTATGTATATTGAAATGGTAATAAACTTTTTTTTTAAGTTTAAATCACAATAATGGCTTTTCTGTAAAAAAAATCAACATTGCCTCAGGAAAGGGTTCTGGTGGCAGTAGACTGAACAATATAATGTTCATCTTTAATTTTGGTGACACTGTATTACAATATAGCTATATATTTCTGATTTATTTTTCAGTTTTTCATTTCACTCTTTTTTTGAATATAAAATAAAGCCTTAAAAATATGTTACCCTTTTCAACTTTTGGAAATGAAGGAGAATAATTTTTGCAAATTTGCAAATTGATTAACATTATTTCAGAAAAGATATAATTATAAAAAGAATGTGCTACTTTAATAGTTTTTATTCCCAAAAGGTTAGTCCCTGAATATTAAATTATTTTCTCAAAAGATGTATACAAATATAGAAGTATTCAACTACAAATATACTGTATTTTTTGTCCCAATCAGTAAGAACTATCAAAAAAAACAACATGATAACACTGAAGAACATGAAACTGGGTACAACTTTTTATTGTAGGAACAAAGTTCTTGTTTGTAGTAAGCTTCTGTCTATTTGTGAATACACACACACACATTTCAAAAATTGAAATACTAACGAGTTTCAAAAGTCGGATATTTTTGAAAATCCATTTCTCTGAAAGTAGATTCGACGAGTATAAATAGATACTTTCTGTAGAAAAATAATGAATTTTTTTTAGACCTTCACAAAATTACCTGCAACATACCCAATATTTCAAAATATAGCCACAAATGAAATGAATGTATTCTAGATTGAGACCAGGGATAAGTTTGATGGCCTTATATGGAACTCTCCATCAACTTCGCAGGATGGAAATATATGAAAATTTCTGTCAAAAACAGTCTGCAGTACTTTTTGCAACAGATCTAGCATCGAGAGGATTGGACTTTCCAGAGGTTCATTGGGTTGTACAAGCAGACTGTCCTGAAGATTCTGCAACCTACATTCATAGAGTTGGTAGAACTGCTCGTTACCATCGAGGAGGAGAGAGTTTACTTATGCTTTTACCAAGTGAAATAAAAATGGTAGAAAAGCTAGAAGAACGAAAAATACCCATAGAGAAAATTGAGTGAGTATTATATTGTTTGGAACATTTGTTACATGAAAATACTTTTTCCTGCCAGTATTTGTGGCTCTTGTATTTTGAAGATATTCTGAGGATTTTTTTTATTTCAAAGTTGTGACATGATTTTTTGCTAAATGTTAGCGGTTCTAATATCCAAAGGTATTCACAGATTCAAAAGGAAGACTGTTGAAATGGATGAAGTGCAAACCCTTTAACATCGCCGTCGCAAAAAGTCCCTCCCTCAATTTTTGAACGGGAAAAAATATCAAAGTCGGAATAAATTTTCAACTCTCGTTTGATGGGTATTTCAATTCTCTATCCAATATTTTTATTTTTGGAAATTAGATCAGCCGTTTCCAAGTTAATACCGGTTTGGATAATTGACAAATTCAAATGAATTTTCAATTGATCGCAAATAAATCTTCATGATGCACTGATGCAATTATGGAAATCATTCTCCCTAATCTAGAATTGCTTTAAATGGAAACAAAGTTAATATCGATTATTTCAAATAATCTGTTATAAATCTTCAAGGTAACTAACTAACAGGCCACTGTTTTGAATTAAATGTATTTCTTTTATCTATACCACATTTAATATCACTAAGAATACTTCAATCTCAGTCAATACTGAATCATATTTTTCAAAAAGAGGGCCATCTGTAAAAAAATTGATAATAATAGTAATAATTAGATCAACTAAAATGCTAAGCTCTGTTCATTTAAAATCTTCTTTTTGGAAATACAAGACTAAAATGTTTGCAGAAGACACCTTTATTGTAACTATGGAAAACACTTTCTTTAGTCCAAAGTTGCTGATAATAGTAATGTAGTAGTATTTAGGTTACCCAAATGTACAAACGTTCAATAAAATTATAATACATAATGTGAAAGTAAAAAGTAGATGATGATAAATCTATTGCATCATTTAAGTTATTATTTGATATGTATAATAAGGTGTCATCTGCAAATAAGTTAATCGATTGTCTACCTGTTAAATAGTAAATATCATTTAGATATATTTTAAACAGATATATATTAAATAAGATGGGACCCAGTAAACTACCTTGTGGGATCCTTAAATCATTCACAGATTCTGTTGAGGTTGATGATTTCACTTTTGTAATTTACTTTCTATTTTTCAAGTAACTTTTAAACCAAAGCAGTACCTTGCCCCAATTCCATAGTATGTCAATTGTTTCAAAAAAGTATTTCTATCGATGGTCTCGAAAGCCCTTTTGAAATCTAGGAATACTGATACTACATAGTTCCCTTCGTCAACATGTAATTTTCACTTTGCTATAGTATACTGTAGTGCCGTCTCACAAGAGTGATTTTTTTCGAAAACCTGAGTCAATCTGGATTACTTTTCATTGAACAAGACAAATATTCAAACCACTTCGGATTATAAGCTATATTAAGATAAGAAAGAAAAATAATTCTATTTTCATCATTTTATTTTGTATATTCTTGATATATTTTATTTATTCTTGGTGATATTAACATTGTTCAACAATTTTTGTGGATTGAGTTATACTGGTTTATTTTTCATACTTAAGTTTTTTAGTGACTCATTTAGAAATATCTCTTATAATTTTCAACCTCATTCATTTTTCTAAACCCAGATTTCAATACTTCAAGTATAGACTCTTGTATCTATTAATACTTTTTGACGAAAAAGGTCTGAACTTCCTAATAATTCCTAACATTTTAAAATTATGTGATTTTTACTCAAAATATAAATTTTATTTTTCAAGGATTAATCCTGTTAAACTCAACAACCCTGTGAGAAAAATGGAAGCATTCTTGGCCAAAGATCCGTCTTTGAAAGAGGCAGCACAAAGAGCATTTGTTTCATATGCCAAAGCTGTTTTCTTGATGAAGGATAAAGAAGTATTTAATGTACAGTCATTAGACACCGATTCCTTTTCAAAGTCTTTAGGATTAGCGTTTCCACCGAGAATTCGCTTCTTACAAAGAATGAATGCTAAAATGGAACAGAAGAATATGAACAAAGAAATAAATATCAGTAGTGGTTCTAAAAAGTACTTTAGTATTGAGAGTGATGAAGAATATCAAGAAGACAAAGTACAGGACAAAAATGAATCTGAAGACAGTGGAGTTAGTGAAGAAGACATTTCTCAGACTAAATCAAAATCAAATTTCAAAGTAGACTCATCCGATGAGAGCGATAATGATGATATTCTCAAAGTTAAAAGGAAGGATCATGACATTGAACTTCCTACAGAAAAGGAAATGGCTGATTTAGATTTAGGTAGGAACAAGGGGAAAAAACCTGTGACCAAGGCAGCTGCTGCCAAAAAGATCTTGAAAAAGAAAATTGTAGCTAACAAGAAAATAGTGTTCAATGAGGAGGGAGAGGCTGTTAAAGGCAATAAGGAAAAGAAATCTGAATTGGCTATAGAATATGAACATGAAGATGAGGGTGGAATAGATCTTGAGAAAGCAAAAATTGTTCTGCGGGAGGAAGATAAATTTGATAAACAGTTGTTTAAAGATAAAGTTAAAGCTAAGCATAAAGAGGAGAAACGGAAACTCAAAGAGAAGAAGCGAAAAGATAAAGAAGAAGCTGAAGAAGAAAAAGATGACTTTGGAGAAAGTGACTCTGAAAATGATCCAGATTTGTCTTGGTTACCAGATCCTGATAAATTTTATGGAGAAAAAACAGAGGAGGAGATAGAAAATTTACGGAATGACTTTGAAGGTCAGCACATGAAGAAAGAAAGAGTTGATGATGAAGAATGTGAAGAAGTTGACACAGTTGGGCGTAAAGAAAAGAAGTGAGTTTATTACTAGTATCAAATTTAGGTAGAAGTTTTCCATATGATTCAGACTTTTTTGTAGGCACTTTAGAACCCATTATTCAACTCTGCAGAATATGTGTACTATTGACAATGATCACGTTTCTCAAGTCACCGAGTTTAAGAATCTTTCAGTGTAATTTGATAGCAAACTAATATTTTCTCTACCATTTAGCTATGTTGCATCTGAGGCAACCAAATCACTAGAATTTATAATTTGCAAAAAAGTGAAATCCGTGTCATGATGGATTGATTTAGAGACTTAAATGGTTTCACATTCATTTATAAATTATTTTTTAGTCTAGTCCATTTTGTATTTATAATATTTACATTTATTTTTACAGGGGGAAGAAGAGGAAACCAAAGGAAAAAATTGATAACCTTGAGACAGTGCTCAAAAAGAAGAAAAAACATAAAATAGATCAAATAAGTTCATCTCTTGATGTGAATGAAGCAGAAGAACTTGCTTTGATGTTATTAAAAAATAAGTAAAACATAACAGATTTTTATTCCAAACAGTAATACAAATAAAAGCAATAGGTTTTCATTATTTATTATCTTCATATTCACAATCCACCCAATCTTTGGGATTTCTAAGGACTTCAAGGAGGTCATGCTCTGGAGTATTTTTTTCAGGTGTATGCATGTATTCCCAACGCTGCAAATTAAAGAAAAATTAATCAAATGTTTCAAATATATCTAGGTGCAGTGACGTATTCAGGAAATGTTCCTGAGGAAGGGAAAATATGAGATATTTCAGTATATAACGGTTTCATACACTTGTTCGCAATAGGTATTATACTGCATCTTTTTGTATATATTTCGAGATATATAACAATGTATTTTGAAGTTTTCAAGTTGAACTTTTTTAGTATTGAATAACACATTTTAGAAAAGCTTTTTTTTTTGTGTAAAATCCATCTGAAACAGATATATTTCCCACCTAAATATTCAAGCAAAATTGAATGTATTGGGGTCTGTGATAGTGTCAAGGTACCTTCTTTCACAAAATGTCAAATGCAGACCTTCCAACTTTTCTTTATGGTATCGATGTTTTTTGGAAACACAAACGATTTTGATATACCATCAAGAGATTTATTTTGCAAACCAATTGTGAATATTCTTTTTTGTTGGTACTTTCATTACCAAAAGTTGAACGACATGATTCTATACATTCCCGTGGAGTTAGGTCTTTCTTGAAAATGTGATAATTCATCTCAAGAAAACTTTCATGATCAATTTTCATTATAGTTACAAAAATAATAACAGGTGTGTAATCAATAATGGGGCTTCTATTCGATTTAAGATAGAAAAAAAGTTAACAGTGCCTGATAGTTTCCACTATTGAGAACAAACCTAAAAAAATATTCACTTACTGCATGTAAAGGTAGAGACATCAGAATACTTTCATATCTTGCTCCAGGCGTGTATAAGCCAAATTTGGTTCCTCTGTCATATATCAAGTTAAACTCGACATACCGACCTCTTCTGATGAGTTGCCACTCTCTTTCTACATTCGTGTATTTTGACAATTTGTGTCGTTGTACTGAAATAGTAAAGTGTGTTGAAAAAGCTTATTGATCGAAAGTTTATAAACTTTTAGTTTTCCAGAACCATCAGTTGCAGTTTCTTGGATGAACCTGAACTATTGAATTTTTCATTTCCTTTGTGCTCTCCAAAAATTGATTGAAAACTTTTGGTTCAGTAGTACTCTATTAAATATTTTCCAGTTTACCAAATACAAAAATGAAAGACATTTTTCTTTATATTCTATGATTTTTTCTAATAAATAACATTCTTTGTATTACAATTTAGTGAAAATATATTCAGGTCAAAAATAATTTTTCCAAATATCAAAGTAAGTTTTCATTTTCAGAGAAATCCATCAGTTATCTTATAAAAAATGGCTAGATTATTTGCAGGTTGAAATTTTTTCAGCTTCGGCATTGAAGATGAGTTATTTATAGAGAAATTCCAAATTATATAATACCTTTGAGAATTTCATGCAGAATATTGTATTCATTTAATCTGGACTCAATTCTTTAGTTGGCGATTTTGACACTGCTTCACATAATTATTACACAAATATTTGATAATGCTTCCTAGATAAGTGGGTGATCCACTGTGTTGAGTTTTTTATTAGCTTATAAAGACAGTATATGGTTGTTCAGTGCAACGCACATATTCCGAAAATTCAAAAAGGGTACTGATATGTTTTTGAAAATTGTTCGAACCATATTCAATTTGAAGGAGAAAGGAAATCAAGCTTGGTTCAAACTTTTGGAAAAGTACATATTTGATACTAACCGGTGTTACTGCTTTTTTATTTGTACAATCAATTCTGTGCTAAATCAGTAGTGAAATAATGTCCATACATTTTGTTTTGAAATATATCATTTTGTATATTTGGAAAAACTATATTTATTTGACAGACCGGGTAAACGAAATTAGTCAATAAATTTTGCCTACTGTTCATTTTGGACATACTCATTTGAGATGAAATATGTTCAGTACTTTCAATAAAATGAGTTTAACAAAACAAGTTTTTAACAGAAAAATCGCTCATACTGTAAATTAATTGAAAATACAAAATAGAATTTTATAAAAAAGACAATGCAACAAAATTTTATACACCCTCAGAAGTTCTATAAAAAAGTCAAACATTTCTTCTATATTATACTTTTGAAGAATTTGAAAGGGCATTTATTCATTGTGCAATAAGCTATGAGCAGTGTCTTATATAGAATATTGTTTTGGAGGAGATCCATATTAATTAAGTAGGAGCCCAAAGCATTTTCTGTATATTTTCCATATTATCTATTTGGATGAATTATATAATGTCCCTTGATAATTCCCAAGATGTTTTATTATTTTTTTCTGCAACCGGGATATATTATATTTCTTTCGAAATTTTGAGGAAGTAGGCTAGTCTGGCACCTCTGGGCAATTCCATTGTGAGATTGGGTCATTATTGTATTTTTAATGAAAACAGTACAACATAATTTTGATTCAAAGATGATTCAGTGGGTACCATCTGTTTAATGTTTTTGATGATTATAAAATTTGTATGTAGCACATTTTATAGTTCATGAGTAAAGTCAAATGCTGTACATTTCAGATTTTTTTCTTTACTCTGTTGACTTTCAAGCAAATGGTATTTGATTATTGGACAATGATGTATAATGTATTGTGTTGAACTTTTCTCCTGTGATCATCACTTTCTATGAAATCATCTTATGGGAATGAATTGATACTACTTTTATTAATTTTGACATAAGAATAATGGTTCATCAAATTTCTGAGAAAAACCCACTGAAATTGGCTCTGACTGAAATCTTCTTTCAATGTCTGCAAATGATTTTTTAAATAAAATTATTATTTATTTTTTTAAGGTGGTTAACAATATCTGGAGGGGTACTTTCATTTGATTCATGTTCTAGACTAACTATTAAAAATTATATGACTCCTATATTTTGTTGTCTGAGACATCCTTCTTCAATATCAAAATTCTGAAACAACTGAATGACGGGCACATTAGCAAATTTTTGTAACTCTGAATCTTCAAATTATCTAGAAAAACAATGTCTCCTATCATTCTATCAAGGTCACTTGATAAATTATCTACCACGTGTCATGATTTTTATTGGAACATATTGTTTTGGAATGATGATTTACGACTTTTTCATCTTTATACAATAAAAATCTCTGAAGACACTGACAAGTAATTGAGTTCAAAATAAACTCTTCTCAAAGATGTGTAGATTATGCATACAAGTTTGTTTCAGATACAAACTGGAAAAAAAATCTCAAAACAACTCACATGAACATTTGATCACTCGAAAGTCCTTTTGGAAACAAACTGCTTTCATATGAACATTGAATTACATATAAACAAAAACCCGTTTTTCATTCAGGCTTTTTTTTCTTGCACATAAAGATACATGAAAGTAAAGCCACAAGGTTTTTTTTCTCAAAAACTGATCTCTTCTAAAAAATAGCTCCTGTTTCAATCCCTATGTTTTACCTATTTTGGTTATAAAAAGGACATTGATGAGATACTTTAAAATAGGTATTACATGAAAATTTTAATGAGTAATATAACGAACCTAAGGGAATATATGATGGAATCACGGCATTGGCACAGTCAGTAACAAACTTGAAACACTCATCCTGATTTGGTGTATCTAAATCGTCGAAAAATATTCCTCCTACACCTCTTCTTTCTCCTCGGTGAGTAATATTAAAGTAATCATCACACCATTTTTTGAACCTAGGGTAATAAGCCTTATTGGTTTTATCACAAGCATCTTTGAGAGTTTGGTGGAAATGTATGGCATCTGCAGTATTCAGGTAATAAGGAGTTAAATCAGTTCCGCCACCAAACCACCACTGGGTTTCTTCACCACTCTTAACTTCAAAGTATCGGTAATTGAAATGAATGGTTGGAACCATAGGGTTCACAGGGTGAATGACGGCACTTATACCTGCAGCGAAAAATGGTAAATCCCCCTCTTCTAGTTTTTTACCTCTCGACCGCATTTGACTTATAGCACCTGGAGGCAAACTACCCGAAACAACAGATATATTCACTCCGGCTTTCTCGAATACCTTTCCATCCTGTAGCACACAAGTAATTCCACCACCACCTTCTTTTCTCTCCCATCGATCAACAATGAATTTGTTGCAGTTTTCTTCGACTTCAAGAGCATTGCAAAAGTCTTTCTGTACCCTCATTATCATTAGTTCCATTTTGGTTTTCATGTCATCAGGATTTGCAGAGAGCTTGTCTATAGAAGTTACAGGTAGAGCCATGAATTCATTGGCGTTGATTTTTTCTTTGGAGGTGAAAAAGGCAAGGGCTCCCGTGAAGGCAATACCATATTTCCTGTTAAAAAAAATCACGTTAGTTTGCTGTGGCAGCATGTTATTTGTTATTCAAATTTCCCGCTTCAGTTAACCTTACCTAAGCTTACAAAATTCACGTTGTCTTTGATAATAAATAAGAGAACAGTTTTTCACGATTACTCTGAAATACATGATTCTGACGAATATTCAAAATATTAACCACTAAAAAGTTAAAATAAATCGGTTTCTTTCTATGACCTATATAATCAGCTGTTTAGCGAACATTTGTATTGTGTAGTTTTTCTGTAACAGGTAGTGCCGCATTATCGTGTCATATCACTGGTGACGTATCTTTGTTGGTTTGAAGGGTTAAAGAGAGAAAGACGATGATAAGGTTGTTATAATTGAAAACGGAAAGCAACATGTGGTATTTTTTGTGACATATCGATCTGTCAATGTGTTAAACAGTAGATAAACGTAGTGAAAATTGAGGTGTATTTCTGTCAAGCAGTCATTGTTATCGAGGTGTGTGTGGCCGTGTTTGTTTGGGATTGAAGTGAAGTGCAAATTTCGGCTTGCGCCATGAGTTTAGGCCCTTTGGCGCAGCTTTGAGAGACGTGCGAACTCAGCAGAGATATCCTGATATTGACTTTTTGCGAGTGTGCTACAAGTCGGTGAGAACGGCAACAGAGTGGAGCGTCGCGACGCCTCTACTCTGAATATTTTGCTAAAACTCCGGGTTTTGGAAGCGCATTGTGTACATTCCATACTCCAAACGCGACGTATTTCAGCCAAAGCTCTGCTTCAGTCGATATTTTTGCTGCAGAATGGTGTAATATCGCAGGTGAAAATTAATCTTTCAATTTTTCACACTCTGGGTAAATTGGTTTTGATTTCGGGACTTTGAAGAAAATTATGGTGCGATGAGGCGTGAAAAGGACGACAGACGTGAAGTTATGAAGAAGTTCACTTTCAAAGGCGTTTTGGACAATTTCCGCAACTCAGTTGCTCAGCCTTCCAGGCCAGACCAGGACATCCAGGAGACGCTGAGGTCTGACAACTTCCAAGTTAAGAGGGTAAGATTTTTCAATTTTGAGGGCCGTCATTTTTGAAATTTCTATTTTATTCAATCATTTCCACTGTTTCCTGGATTCTTCTTGTTATCTATCACACTGTTTATAGACGTCTTAATATACATCGAATTGAACTGTCTACTGTGTATGACTCATACATACATACAGATAATTATATTTAAAAGTAACCAGTTTTGGTAATATTTATTTCTAAGAATGTCTCTCATTAGGTACAATGCAGACTGAAAATTCTGATGAAAAGTTGTTATTTACCTACTCTGTGACATCATATCGGTATTGAATCAGGGTCGGATTTAGCAGAGCAGATATTCGATGATAGACGACAATCACATCGGACTGTGTTCAAGTTATTGGATCAAAATCTCATCGAGTTTGGTTCATTTGAAAAGCCTGTTTTTTCCGGATATCTCCGGATATACTCGGAATTTCAGAACTTCCCCAACGACATATTGTTAGTCAGGTAAATGCGCAACTTTGTCCCAATTTTACCATCTTCGTATCTCTCATAGTTTCCGAGATCCCAATGGTGGGGATGGAATTTGAAACACGCCCTGTATAACTATTAGATCAAAAATTATTTTCTCAATCTCTTCTGAAAATTTTAATAAAAATTTATGTTGTTTAGCTTCGTTACATTCGAATTTATCCATTTGATGAAAACTCAGATATTTTATATTAGGAAAATGTATTTGGATCCAGCAGCATATATCACAATCAGTTTATAGATAATTTTTTAATTTTCATTAGACTTTTTTATGAAAAACTTATATTGCATTTTATTGTTATATCGACTATTTTCAAATCAACGAAAGAATGAACATTAATAGTAAGACATGCATTTTTTGCATTTCGACGAGGCGTCATTACAATGAACTAGAATAGTGATTTTTCCGTAAATGCCTGCTGATAGATAGCCAGTACTATCCTGTTCACCTGACCACTAAACTATAGCCGCCAGTTCAGCTCCATTGAAAATCTCATTACAAATTAAGACATTGGAGTAAAACATTTAGGAAATATCGAGATGAAGATTTCGTAATTTGAAAGATATAGAGTCGGTTGAATTGTGGCAGAGATGCCTATTTTAGAGTAGTATCGAATGAAACCCAAATATCGACCCACATTTTTTTGAATCCGTCACTTTCTCTTCAAGCCATACATCATTAATATGTTTAATTGACGGGGAATTTCTCCGGATGTTAGGGTGAACCGTTCGAAAAACATTTTACGTTTCTCTTTCAGGAATTTCGTATGAGCTGCAAAATAGGCTTCAAATCAGGAGAGATATTTCCCTTTTCAGGATGAAATAAATACAATCTCATTTTCTTCGAATAGCGATTTTTCCATGTTTTTCCATATTTTTCAATGGACATGGGTTTTAGTAACAAGTTTTTGCAGTTTTTGAAACGTGTAAAAATGTGTAAAATTCTTATACCTACAAGATTGAAACTCTGCAGAGTGACTGATTACCTAAAAATAAAGGAAATCGATGATCTATGAGTGGTCCAAGTTGCTCTACACACTCTGTTTTTTTCCTATTTTACCGGGATTAAAAGAACTACAGTCGATTTTCAATTTTAATCATTCAATAGAGTTCTGAAACAGCCAACTTTGCAGAGACTAGAGTTCTAATGGGATATGCTAAATCAAATAATACATTGAATCGATTATTGAATACACTATTTGAGTTTTACACCCACCCGGAAGTTTGTGGTTTAGAAACACAAAGTATGCCAATATTCTTATCAATAAAGGAAAGAATTATTAAGTAGTAGCAGCAGATTACGTAATGCATATCGTTGTTTGTAGTTATTTGCAAATACCTACATGAGTTTAAGACTAACTAGTGAATAGCATTTCTCTTTGTTTTACTTGTATTGTAAAAAAATCAAGAAGAAAAGGTCATCTGTTTCAAAATATTTAAGAAGGCTTTAATTAATCTAGAATATTGAATTTCATTTAAAATATTTTCTTGTTCGTCTCATGAATAAAACATCAATAAGAAACTATTGTTTCATATTGACCTCTTTATATAGTTTAATTTCACCTTTTCACTTTCTGGAAAAAAAAATAAAAATTGTAATGGATAAGTTACTCGATAAGTTACTATGTGAATTCTGTTTAAAAAAAAAATCTGTTTTTCCGTTAATCAGCTGTCGCCCCCATACGAACTACAACTCTCAGAAGTTGAGAAACTTGTGCGAATTCAATATATACATGTTGAATTCACCCTTGAAAAAGGTTTATTTACTAAACTTCCCGCTCCCCGGCTCACTCAAAATCTCTGATTTTTTATGAATAGACTCAATGAGGCCTTTCAAAAGTTATAAAAACCAAATCTGTTGATGATCCCATACGATATGAAGAATTGATAAATTGTACCTTGTCAAGAGTTAGAATGAAAAAAAAACTCAAATATTTTGGTTTTGAAACAGCTGTCTTGTTTCTCATTTGGTCATATTTACTGGGCAGGTTTCAAATAATTTGTGTTGATGGTCACTGCTCCTCACATCTTGATATTTTATTTGGAGTACCATGGGGTTCCATTTTGGGACCATCATTGTTTACCATTTATACTACTGATGTTATCCCATTCATCAACAACTGATATTGACGTTTTAGTTGAACAATGACATTTTTATTTATGTCTATAAGCGCCTTCCGTTTTAGTCCGTTATCCGGCCGATGTCGCTTTGGCATGTCGTACTGTTTGAATATATATTTTTTTAAATCGGTATTTTTGGCCAAAAACCAAATAATGGACTGTGATATGTCATTAAATTCGTTCTGAAACGCTCTATAGAATACAGGATATTTCATTTAGCGGTACATATGAAAAAACGAATTTGATGATGGTTTCTGAAGAACGAAACGTCGAATTCAAAATCTGTGCATTGCATGTTGTAGTACGAAAAAGTTGTTACGAGAAAGTGTTTTTTGTTTTATAATAGCGCTTCATATAACGCCAGGAAAAAAGTTTTTTTTAAATATCTCTGGAAGTACTTGAAATATACCAGATTTCAAAACATCATTTTGAAGAGTACCAAATTACGCAACTTTGCCCCGATTTAACCGACCCTTCAACTCTAACGTTTTCCGAGATCTCAATGGTCACCCTCGAATTTGGGACATCCTGTACAATTAATTTCATTTTTGAAATTTACTAATAGTGAAAGTCTCATGTTACGATTTTAAATAAGTTTCATGAAATTCATCAACACTTTAATTAATTATTCTGTAAAATATATTCAATATTCCATTTTTCAACTCGCACATATATAATTTGAATATTTTAGTATGCGGAAAATTGGAGGGAGCCATTCCCAATTTCAGATTGAAAGTTATTATTTCGATAAAACATTTACTTACTCAGTAAAGTAAGTACTAAGTACTGATGGTAAAATCATCGTAATTTCAATTTCATTTAGACTACAGATGTTCGTAGGTTTTTGCAATTGTTTTTAACAAATGTTTATTTATGGGAGGCTGAATCAGTGACTAGGTACTCAATTAACATTTTATTGTATGTATGACCCTCAACGGCAGCTTTGACCTGTATGGTAGAAGCGAGACGAACTTGTGAAAAATATGAATCCCAAACAATGCGTAGGAGTGGTTGCTACGGAGTGGACAAGTTGTTCATTTAGATTCGAGTATATCCGTCATGTGAAGTTTGAAACAATTTTTTAAACGGTTTTATTTTGCTTGCCCTGTTTGTTTATTTGGATCAAATTTAGTAATTGAAGTTTGAACCCCTTCCTGTTGTTAAACAAAGAATTGTGATGTTTGTGAAAAAGATAATAATATTAGTAGCAGTCAGTTTGGGTTTTAGATTTTGAAAAACCCGGAAGATGCTATGTTTCATATACTGGAAAACGTGAAATAGCAGCGGCAGTTTTTTGCGATCTTTCAAAAGCTTTCGATTGCGTGGATCATGAAATTCTGCTGCAAAAACTAGAAGTGTATGGCTTTAGAGATATATCTTTGAAATGGTTCAGATCATACCTGTCAGAACGTACTCAGAAAGTCAAACTCCCGGACAACGTATTCCATTTCCAGACAGTTACTTGTGATGTTCTACAAGGATCGGTTCAAGGTCCAATTCTCTTCTTGTTATATATTAACGACCTAGCCCGCATTAATATAACCGCAGAAATAACCCAATTCGCTGATGACACTACATTATTTTGGCATTGTAAGAATGAAAGGAAACTGCATGATGAGATCAGTATGGATATTATAAAAATAAAAGACTGGTGTGATGCTA